TTTATTGGTCAATCACCAGTCCAGTCATCCGGAGCATACTACACCAGGGTAGTGCATATTTCAGGATGCATGTCTGGCCAAAGAGAGCTATTCTGAGCCGCCATTAAAGGACCCAAATCAGCAAAATTAGGTGTATTTGTTGGACTCTTGGTGGTTTTGACGTCTGTTTTTTCTGAAACTGCATTTTTTTCCCGAACAATGTAATTGTCTTAATCAGACCCAGTTACAAAAGCACTTTATTCTGTCACACCATCGATTTGTCTTGATACGTTTCACTTAGACTACCCCGCATAAGAAGGCTGTTATAATTAATCTATTAATGTGTTTACATAAGCATTTCTCATACCATTGTTTCCTGTAACATATTTATTCACCACTATATGTCCTAATGAGCATTTAAGGTTATGAGGCTTTGAGAAAAATTAACCATTTAACATTTGTTTCATGGACTATGCAGCCGATTTCACTGATGCTGATGTAACAGCTTTTAAGTTAAGTTTTATTCCATTGAATCCATCATCGTCTCAAATCCATCCACCCAGCACACATTCAGTCATAGCAGTAGGAAAATGATCCTTGAATTTTATACACTTGGTCCTTAAATTTGATGTTAAGGTTTGGGAATCCTGGATAGGGTAACTATCCTGCAGCTGCTGCCACTGTGATCCCATTTAATAACATATCTGGCTTTGTGGCCCCTCAGGTGTTGATGTTGCTCCGTTTGGTGCCACTGTCCTCCGGAAGGCATCGCAACTCTCAGAAAATCTCTGTTTAAATATCATTTTGAATATATACTCTGTGTAAACAGAATGAAAATAAAGTCTCTGTTTAGAGGCAGAGTTTAGAGGCGGAGTTGGGTTNTGAGGTAACTTCCACATAACGTCTCTCCTTGTAACACCTTAAACTGTCAGTAGACGACTTTACATCAAACTTAATGGAAACTGCAAAATCTGAATCAACTTGACAAATTTCAAAAAGTTTTGCCTCGTTTCAGGTATTTTTTTGGCTAAAAAAACCCCTAAATGTGGATATGAGGAGATGGAAACATTTTTGTCAAATGTTCTGATGTAGTGAACATTTAACTGATCAGCTGTTTGCTGTCTTGGTTCCTGAATGTAAGCATCAGTCACACTTCTCTCCCTACGTCTCTGGATGTCGACGTAGCATCATCGCTAAAGCAAATAAAACTTTCCTGATTGCACAACTTGATAAAAATGTTTCTCCATTATCTGTCTGTGGTCCACGTTAGCTTGCTACCTCTCCTTCCTGAAAACATTTAATTTCACTTTTCCTTTTTTTTTTCTTTTTATAAATTTTGAAAATTTGCTCAAAATTCACATGAAATTTTTAATAGAAGCAGGATTTTTTGAAATGACAATCCATCCTCAGCGGTCTGTGAAGCCACCTTGTTCTATTCTTAAAGTTGAGTCGGTCTGGATATCCTACAACGTTTACACGTTATTACGATGCCGTATCTCATCCCTGACTTGTATCTTAAACCATCTCTGTTTTACGGACAGTCAGAGGCTTGACCCTTCTGAAAATGGTGCTGATCCATTTATTAAATCTAATAAGAGACTTGGCTTGATCATTAAAGATCAGTTTTCAAGGCCTTGGCATGTGTGTCGTCTAGATAACACCTTTTCAGATCTCACACTCAATCTGTAGAACGTGGCTCTGAGTCTGCAGTTTATATCAGAGGGATATTTTCAGCATGAAACCAACATTTCTGAGTGGAGTGTAGAGAAATGGACCTGTGAAACGGCTTGGTGAAACACCGTAAGGTAGCAGCTTAGTGAAATGTCATAGCGTAATGGGATGGTGAAGCGGCCTGGTTAGACACTATGGATAAACGGCAGAGTGAAACAGGCAGGTGGGACGCTATGGGGAAACGGCCTAGTGAAATAGGCTCGTGAGACGGCATGGTGAAGCGCTGTGGTAAAATGTCCTGGTGAAACGCTGTAGGGAAACAGCCTGGTGAAGTGCTATGGTGAAATGTCCTGGTGAAACGGCGTAGGGAAACAGCCTGGTAAAGCGCTATGGTGAAATGTCCTGGTGAAACAGCGTAGGGAAACAGCCTGGTGAAGTGCTATGGTGAAATGTCCTGGTGAAACGGCGTAGGGAAACAGCCTGGTGAAGCGCTATGGTGAAATGTCCTGATGAAACGGCGTAGGGAAACAGCCTGGTGAAGCACTATGGTGAAATGTCCTGGTGAAACGCTGTAGGGAAACAGCCTGGTGAAA